CGCGCCGCAGTCAGCCAGCAACCGCGCGGCCCGCGACCGCCTTCTTCGCTGACTGCGACTGCGCGACTCCCGCGCCGACCGCGAAGTGAAGTGAAGTGAGAACTATCGTGACCGCATCAAAGTGACTACCGCAAACGTCCCGATACAAAACAGTGTACGTTCATACAGACGGGAGAAAAAAGACAAAACACAGTTTTTGTTCCATATTTTTTTTTGTCAAAATTTTCTCTTTCCAATCAAAAATCGGAGCAAATGAAGTGTTTTGGGGAATGTTTGTAATTGGCATTAATAAAGTGTCGTGCGTGTGCCGCGAAGCGTGGATTGTCTAAACAGTGGATACTCGCTCTGGACGCCAGTTTTATATTTATTTATTTATTTAACTACTATTATCTCTTTCCTTTTTGTAAATATTCGAGAGAATATTTTTTACTATCGATTACCTTTTATTCATGCCAATCACATGTTTTCCAATCTTTTTTCTTTCTTTCTTATTCTTGTAATTTGCTTCATTTTTGACTAACCGCATGCGGAGAGTTCCGATGGTGTGTAGATGTCAGATAAGATAGGTCGCATCGCCACGCCCCGCCACTGCGTCCGCGGGGATTTCATTGATATTGGAAAACTTCGTCTTTTCCGAACATCTCTATCGAATTTAGTTTTCGGTTGAAAACACGAAGGTCACTTGACAGGTTTTTTTTACAGTTTTAACGGCGCTCGCGCCGCCGCGACACACATTAAAGTTTATTTGCTTTTGTAATATATCACTAAATTCTACTAAAGAAAATTTATTTGGCATAGAAAACTCTTAAAGTGCGCTTTTCATTAAAATTATCGATTCAATCTCAACTTTTTAATTTATCTTATTTCAAACAATAAAAAATAAACAATTTATTTATTTCTGTAATTTTCTTTGGCCAAAAATTTACGTGTTTTTAACTAGCATTTATTTTAAATAACCTTTTTTCGCAACTTTTAAACAAACTCTTTAGGTATTTTATTATAAGTATGTTATAGCAGGTGAGTTGAATGAATTCCTAACATCAAAATCAGCTTATGTACATAGAGCAGTAGCGTAGTGAAGTAGCATAGTAATACTGTGACTGTTGTACTGTTAGCATCTCCTATGCCTATAGCGACTCTATCTCTTGTTTCTAGTCTGTACCCCGACCCACACTTCTCGGCCAGGTGTCGAAGCCGCGCTGTCGCGTGGCAGTGACAATCTCTGAACCCTCCAGTGTTCACAAACGGACATACACAGTGTATAATGTTAATTTGGATTTGACAAACACCGCACTGCTGCAACAAATCTTAATACAATTTTACAGGTAAGTACAAGTACTCCTTGTTTTTCCTTTTTATGTATTAGAGGTTTAACAATGTAGATTTGGTCTTCATTTTAATGGTTTTCATATGATAATTTAAATATTTGTTAGTCATTGCAATTTAAGACGCCTACACTAATTAAACTGAACAAATGCGTATACACTTAGGAGTAACTTAACTGTGATTGAGGTAAAGTTCAAGTTGTGATGATTTAAGTAGTTTTTAAAGGTCGTTGGACCTGAAAATAATCGACTTCATGCTAATTTACGTATCATAATCATACTGATATTACAAATGCGAAAGTTTAGATGGATGGTTGTTTATTAGAGTTTGTAGCCTAAACGGCTGAGCTGATTTCGATGAAATTTTGTTTAGATGTAGAGGACAGTTCGGAAGAACACATAGGCTACTTACTTTTGTGTTTTTTGATTCCACGCGGACTGAGTCGCGGACTAAAGCTAGTGTGTACATAAAAGTTGTCCAGTAATAACAATACATTAGTTGTATTCTAAATCTAGTTAACTCCAGTAGTAGTATTTTGTTCAACTGTCAGTATTCAGTCCACTCTTTGAGAAGGGAACCACGACTGAAATATAAAAATAGAGGATCTACGTGAGTGGGAAAAGAATAGAGAGATGGTCAATGAAATGATGAAAACTGCAGCTAAATGTCGTTTATATCAATTTATTGTTATACGAATGTGATGAGACATTGGTTGCTTAGCAACGTTATCTAAACATTTAACGATATCAATTAGGATTCATATTTCCTGCCGCCTACCAGGTTGCTTCACCGCGCGCCTGCGTTGTGACTCAGATGTCAAAACCTGCCACCACGGAGATAGGCGATGCCTCACGCGACCTTAACGTTTAGGATTGACAATGATTTGGACGACCCTGTGGATTTCTTAACAGCTAAAAGACTGATAATATTCAAAAGAAATATTGGTTAAAACAAATATTGCTTGGGAATTAGTCATATGTGGTTAAGAATTCGAAGTTTGTATTAGTATAGTTAGAATTTACTAGACTTTTAGTGTTGTTTTATAAAGCATGGCATCTTTTTAGTGGTTTTTTGTTTCTATAACTAAAACTTGAAACAATACGCGACGATATTAGAGTATTCTGTTAGAAAAATTATCGAACTTTGATCTTTATGCAAACCTTTTGCCTTTTACAAGATTTGACGCTAATCAGTATTAATGATGGAATAAATATTAATTTGCAAAATGAAATGACACCAATTCATAGAAAAATATACTAATGTAAAAGTTAATATCAAAGGTTCTGTAAAAAACCATGCTTTCAAACACTATGAAATTAAAATGAAGACTTCTCGATTATCTTTTGTTTCGATAAGGCAATAAAAGCATCCGTTACAACTTCTATTTTGTTACTAGTAAATAATTTGAATAACAAGAGAATGATTGGATCGCAAACATGTTTTAAAGTGATTGTAAAATATGAATAG